GGAAATATACCAGTCTTTTCCAATCAATTACTGTGGTGATAAATGCTTTCCTCTTTGCAGACACCACTTTCACTTAGAATTATCAAAGTTAGGTATATATATATAATACTCTATAAAGAGAGATTTTGATATAAGCTGTTCACAGTTTAACACTATGACAATTCTAAACACTGCGATGCAAGTCAATACTAAACACAATTTTTTGGTCTCTAGCATGGCAGATTCCACTGTTCTCTAGTAGGGTGGTGCAGGTGTCTAGACTAGGGGAACTATTGTGTAATGATGCCAGTTGTCTTGAGAGGAATTCAAGACCCTCACAGCAAAATGAAAAGAAGGATTGAAAATGATTATCGGATTTAAGAAAGAGAATGGAGAGATAGAGCTCAGTCATTCAGTAAAGATCAATTCAATTCATGTCTTTCACAATGCTCATTCATATCCTCCTCTATGACTCTCAACATGCGTGGCTGAGTCCATTCATACACAGGGGTAATAGGTCAATTCTGCATCACTACCAAGACAAACAGTAATTTTCACAAACTTGCCATCTAGCCTCTAAGAAAACAATCTTTGATTAAATTTCACGGATCAACACTCATAAAACACAATCTGCACCAAAATAGTGCCGGCATAAATTGGAAAAGAAGTGAGAAATGTTGATTTGCGTTTCTCACTGTTTGAACATCTCTTCAAAATTTGGCCATAATGAAGACATTTGTCATTTCTATGGTTGCTAACAATTTTGTTATGACGGTTCCTTTTAGCTTATCCCAACAGGCTATTATATGAAGTGTAATAAAATGACACATAATACCAAATGGAAGGTAGAATTACTCATACAAAAATAACCATAATATAAAGAGAGATAGAGAAGTAATTTCATATATTTATTTATAGAGGAATATAATACATTTCAAAATAAATAAATAAAATTGATACAGCTTAAATGTTTCCTGACAAACCATATAACCCCTTTAATGTTTAACATTTGATATTTCAAATTACTGCTACTGATGCCATATGCATATAAATCAATTCATTTTAAATGGATTTATATATCCATGTGGACATTCATAGCGATGTTAAAACTATAGTGTGGGTTGTCAAATATGAAGTAATATTGTTATTTTTCAATGTTGCTGTGAAATAATATCTTTGGTTGTAATGTGCAATTTTGATACAAAAACAAAGTAAAATCAATTATATACAAAAGTAAGCCACATCAATAATGGGAAAAAGCAAATTACTTTTTATATGCTAATTGCATTAGAATATTAGAAAAGAAATACTCCACTGGCAACGTAATGTAACATGCTTTGTCAAGTGCAGTATAAGTTGTAAAAATCAATTCAGTGATCAAAACCTAAGAACAAATCCAAAGTAGACTGTGTTTTGTAAATAAAAAGGAATCAAATGATATCACATTATAATAACCATACTTACACAGTTGTATTCAGCTGCACTTTAAATTTACAGTCCAACCACTTCTTGTTTAGGTGGACCATATAGGCAGAGATTTACCTGCACTGTTAATTTACAGAACCAAAGTGGGACAACCCTACTCTAAACGATAGGTTGCCAGGCAACAAAACATACTCCCACAGCAGCTAAATCATCAAGTGTGTAGATTTCATGACCTAACTTATAGCATCATTAGACTGAAACAAATGATTATAAGAAATCTGATTGGCTGACTGCCGGAAATGCAGGCTGGTAATATTTCAGGCACTGATCGTTGAGATAAATATATCTGACCAGATACCGCCTGTCATCTGACCACTAGTTTATCCGACATGAGTGGAAAGTGTCAAACTAACTGACTTCCGAACCTCGACGAAGCCCCCTCATGAGCGCCAAAGTAGCAAGCCTTTACGGAGGGTATTGAAAAATAGCCTGCAGGAAATGCAGTCTGACCGTATGCAGGCACAGATTGTCAAGATAAATAGAGCTGACCAGATACTGCCTGACGCCTGATCACTAGTTTATCCGACCAGAGAGGAAAGTGTCAAATGAACGTTCTTGCGAACCTCAACGAAGCCTCCAAAAATTTGAAAAAATAGACTGCCAGATAAATAGAGCTTACCAGATACCGCCTGTTGCCAAATCATCACTTTATCCGACCAGAGAAAGTGTCAAATGAATGGAGTGAGTGAATCAAAGTGAATGAATATTTTTGCCACATAATTTGAGAAACAGACTGCCGGAAATTCAATCTGGCAGTATTTTAGAGACTGGTTGTCGAGATAAATAGAGCTGACCAGATACTGTCTATTGCCAAATCACTAGCTTATCCGAACAGAGAGGGAGGTGGTCAAATGAACGGTGTGAATGAATAAAAGTGAATGAATATTCTTGCCACGTTGAACCTATGCCCAAAAACTTTGAGGATTATAAAAAGCACTTCTCAAGTGGTTCACATGTTATTGTTTAATGGAGGTTACAGCAGGATGGGTTCGGTAAGAAATCACTCTACAACAGGCCAGTCTATGACTGTGGAATTTAATCACAGTAGAAGGTATTGATTACTGAAACAAATATATATTTTTTTGTTATATAATTTGGTGGGGGGGGGGCAAACAGAGGGCAGACCAGATTAATGGGAGGGCAAACACCGGATATTATGTACCATAATTCGTATTTACAAGACACTGATATCAATTTCATACAGATAGAATAATGTTCACAAGATTCAACAAATTGCAACAAGGGCCATAACTATAGAAGTTATTGACAGAAATTGCTTAAATTCAATAGGATTCATTTTTATACTAATCTCAATAATGCATTTAAATTTCATACAGATCGGATGATTACTTTTGTAATTCGAGCGTTCACAAGGGTTCAACAAGGGCCATAATTCTAGATGTAATTAATGGAAATTTCTGAAATTCAATAGGCTTTCATACAGATCGGATGATAACTTTAGTCGTGAGGTTCACATGGTTCAACAAAGTGAAACAAGGGCCATAACTCTAGAAGCAATTAACAGAAATTGTTGAAATTCAATCGGCTTATTCATTTTAAATTCAATCGGCTTATTCATTTTACTGATCTTAATAATGCATATAAATTTCATACAGATACTATTTTCGATAGAGCGTTTTGGTCAAACAACATAGTTAAAACAATATTTTTTGTACAATTGGGTTTTCATTTGATACCATATCGTATCACACACTACGTCTCTATTTTTGGCAAGATACATTTTTAAATGTAATTTTTTCCATTTCATTTGTATGTTCTTTGAGAATGTGTACCAGATATGCATCTTGTGTTCTTTTCGCATAATATGGTCTATATTCTTTTTTATAAATCGGATTCACTTGTATTATCTATCAGTATTAATAAAGCAATCATCAAATTATTATAAAGACAGAAGCCTAATATAAACTTTAATGAGCAAATTCAAACATTTCTTTACAAAATATTTGAAACCTCTTATCATGTATCTCAACCTCTTCTACTATTCAAAATTTGCAATGCCATTTCTTAGAAAGCATGCTTGACTCCAATGTCAATATAATCATGCCATCAAATTTCAACTTGATAGCACAAAGTTATTAGCAGGAATTCATTAAAACTATTCTTTTCAAAGAAGCACACAAGTGCTATCATTTTTTTTCTATCAAAATTTTATGGACATGCAAGGGCAAATAGTATGAAGCAAGATAATCATGAAAATTGGAACATTAGTATTATTGGAATGTTTGAAGTGGACAATGGAGCAGTTAAGATGAGCTGAAGCTTCAATATAGCTTCATTAAATTCCATGTGATTTGTAAGAGTCACTTGTTTATTTCCAGTCTATTGTCTCTGGACACGGAGACTACTAAACAGCAAGTGAATATGGCTATTAAAGAATATTGAGTCTATTGTCTCTTTTCCAATAGTTGACTGTCCCAGACAACAGAAAGCTCCCTTCTGTAATTTCCAGCTTGGACAATTAGAGATGTGCATGGCATAACAATGGTGTATGTTTATCTTTGGTGTATAATACTTGAGAAAATTTTAAGCAGCTCATATAATAGTCTACTAGTTGAGAGATTTCAGTCTCCTTCTGTCAAAATTGGATGTACTTGACAAAAACCTGGTCACATTCAAAATGTGGCGCTTGTGAATGAAAGCTAATTACATTCTAGCCAAAATTAACTACAGTGAGGTTCATTTGAGGAAATCGTGAAATTTGTCTGCCTGCTTAACCTAAGTAGAAAATGATGGGCTAACAGTAAAAATCTGGCTGACTGTCCCTGGTCCTCCAAACTTTGGTTAAGTTCCTGAGAAAAATACACTTTCTTTGTTTTCAGGCACCTATATCAATCACATGCTACAGAATCTAACAATGCTGTGTCAACCAAGAGACAGGTCCCCACCTTTGTTTTTTAATCATTTAATTCTCACAGAAGTCAAATATAAAATGGGCAACAATGTTTGTTCTAATTACCTTGCATACATTTTCCACAATAATGCTCTCCAACAGAGTTTATTTACTCAGTGTTCATGTTTTTCTTGGTGCCATCTCAAGATATTTGTTTCACGAAGAATTGCGTCAGAAGCATTGTTTAATCAAAACAACCATCTGAAATTGTGGGTATTGTTCCATTCAAATTATTCTAAGATTTTAATATGAGAAGACAATGCAATCAGTGACGATAAACATTCTGTGTTTTGAAGGTAAATTCAATCTGAACAATTACTAGTTTGCAACATTTGTTATATTTTTTTGTTCAGAAAGACAATGTATTCCTAATAGGAAATATATTAATTTCCACTGATGGAAAACTAATAAAAAGTTTTCATAGTGTATTTTTTTAAATCTGTATGTAAATCTTAAAAAAAAAAAAAAAAAAAAAAATTTAAAACAATAATGATTCATTTATTATTGATTGCCAGATAAAGATGACAGTACATATAATATATAGTTTAAGAAGATCAGTAAAACTGACTTATCTTCTATTGACAAATGAAATCAGTAGACAATTATCGATAAAAGTATTACATACCTGAGTCTTTTTTTTTCATTTTTGTTTATTAAGAGGCTGTTTAAAAGCCTAAGTTTATCATAATCTGTAATTAAAAGGTCACATGAGAGTACTTTAGATTTCTTTTTCAATATGATGTAGACTTTAGCTAGTATTAGTTTCATGGCCATAAAATCTGATCTTAGATTATATGGCATCATGTCTATTTGTGGTTTCAAGATTGTAAATAACCAAAAGGATGAAGAAAAAACACTTGTGCTGATTCCTATCCAATAAGATCGGAGTTGATGTTTACTCTTAAAATATAATCAGGATTATTACTGGCTCCTTCTGGCTCATGGTTAAAACCAGTTAATCATCTTGATAGATTAAATCCATTATATAACTTAATTATCAAAATATAAGCCCTGAGAACTGTGCTTAATTGGAACACATTCAGAGACATGGCACCACCATTTAAGGCTAGTCTGATAATGTCAAATTTCTCATGCCCTAGATAATGTTAAAGGTCAACAAATCATTTGATAGATTAACCCAAGAAATTCAAATTAAGAAATTTTGTTTGGTTGTGTGGTCATGCAAAAATTTCAAAATGTTTGTCACCACTATAAATCATTTAACCCAATCAACAAGAAAAATACACACTGCCAATTAAAATAGGAACCATATTGACGATTATCCAAATCAGAATGATACCAAATATTTTCTCCTAAAACTAAATTCATAACCTGTATAGCCTCAGGGCATATTATTCAGCAAAATGGCATTTCCATTTCCTTATTCATTTAGCTTAATCGTAGGACTAGAGGTGCATATACCGGTATACATACGCAGCTAAATATATTCTGTTTTGTATTAGCAAATTAAACAAACACAAACGAAACAAAATGTAGTTTAATTTCTTAGTCTTCTGTACCAACTAAGCTAATAAAGACAGGTGTGCTATGTGGGAAATTTTGGCCTTACACATAGGCGTACGTGGCCGAACTTGTTTGGGGGGGCCAGCATATTTTCCCGACAAATATATTTCTTTAGAGTCTGCTGGTTTTTGAAAACCAGACGACTGTAGACGCGATTTCCAGGCATTTCGAATACTTTCTAGTAATTTGGAGTGGGTAGTAAATTATGTCAGTTGCAGCATAAAAACTGGTAAAAAGTCATCTTTAAAATACAAGCTCTATTACTACGAAAACAAAACAAGAACAAGTCGAACGATTTACTTTTGCCACATTTTTCATTTTATGAGACTTCACATTTTTTATCCAGATTTCAGATGTATAGAAGACTTGTATATACTTTATCTATTTTTGATATATGAATGACCATTTTAAAACAGTTCAAATTTACAATCTATATATTCCGTATTAAGATTTACTTTTGCCACGTTTTTCATTATATGACAGTTCACATTTATTATCCATATCTAAGATAGATAGATCTAAAATCAAGATAGAAGACTTTTTGAACTTGTAAAATTGATATACTTTTAATATATGAATGACCATTTTAGTTCAAGTTTATTTACATCTAGTGCACTATATTATACCAAAAAAAGAACAAGTCAAACAAGGGTTTATACTGCTTTTCAGCTGCTCACTTCTATCACTGGGCTCGTCGGGTGCATGGAGTTGGATGCCAGTATACAGGAACACAGTACTCACAAACTGAGAAAGGCCATGTGTACGTGCTAGTTCTATTCAGATGGCGTACGTGTTCATCATTGACTGGACCTTTCTTTCCGCTTCCATATTATTAAAAATATTCAAAACCCGACAGACGGTGCAACGCTTCCCAACAAACTGAGCATTCATTCCCGACAAGGCCATACCCCTACCCCCACCCCATTTTCAAAAACTCCTCGGCTAATGACCGATCTCACAATTCTGAGCTCTATTCAGATTTCTATTTTTTTTCATGAAAATATTGGGGGGGGGGCCCTCCCGGCCCCCCCGCCTCGTACGCCTATGCCCTTACAGCAGTGATACAGCCCACTCTTATTTTGATTTCCACTTGTCAAAGAAACTTTAACATCTTTGCAAAGCCATAGATACTACACTACAGACAAGGGAACTCCAGGGTGTAAAATCCTGTGGATGTTTTTGAATTGATCCAAAAATTGGTCTTTCTCTGTGATTTTCATTCTATTCTATTTAAGGTGATAGAAATTAGGAATGACCATAGGCATCGATTGGTGAAAGGCAAAGGGGACAAATCACCCTGACCTTTGAGGGAGGGGGGGGCAGCATACCGATAGATACTGAAGTCAAACCAAATCGGCAAATTCACAGACAAATGAAAGCGCACAACTCAGAAAGGCTACATTGAATTACACAAGTGTACAGGAATTATAGAAGCCTACTGTGTCTCTTTAAAGGATATGGCAACGACTTTGTTAAAAATCTTGATTTACAATTAATTAATTAAGAATCTAACAATTTTCTTACTGGTTTTACAAGACTATTTTAAAAGAGCTATATGGAGACTGGAAACCTTCTGTTTCGAAATTTTTGGTTTGTTATTTTGAAATTGATCTTAAAATCATTAGCACCAAAGAAGATTATCGTGAACACCTAAATGAAGTGTTTACTTAATATCCATTGACTGGCTATATATAGTAAATCTGCCAAAATTTTACAGCCCAAAATATAAACTTTATGTAATTAGAATCGAGAAATTTCCTTTTGGAGCTACAATAACTTAAGGAATGGGCAAATCGTTTGTTTTTCATTTAAGGCGTAAAAGGACAACATGCCAAATTAAACAACAAATATAGACATAATTAAAAGTTGTCCTATCAAAAAATATATACTGGTCCAAGCATTATTCAAGTTGACCAATAAGTAATGGCTACGAAATATTGACACCCGGTTTGTAGTATTCCGCTTGTGGTTTCGGAAGTTAGGCAAACCATATCGTGGTATCAGTTGCTCTATTTCCAGCTCAGCAAGTTTTGCTTCACACATGGATAATAAATCAAGTTATTGGCAAACTGTTGTACATGTATACCGAGCTGCATGCCGAGTGATTGAGCAGAGAGTGTGGGAGGGGGCAGGGGGATCCTGCATTTATGATGATTTGATGTCCCGCTACTTTGAATCTTTGAAGCCCACATGGAATGACTATACCTGGAAGTATGTGTTGAGAAGAGTATGCTCTCCTAATGCTGAGCAAGGAGTTTTGGGAGATAGGTGTATCACATTGGATATAAAATCATTCTCTGGATGAAAAAAAGCACATTATCCATTTATGGAAATGATTTTTGCGGGTGCAGTTTATTCAATGCATAATAAATCAATGAAAATGCTTATTAATTGTTTACAGAATAAATATGTGAGCTGCTCCCACAAAACCAGGCTCTTGGTCATTTTTATAAAAATAGAGCTGGCAGCATATTTGAAAAGTCCACAGCCTAAGCTTTCCAAAAATGCAATTCTTTTTAAATTTCTCCTAACATCTGGAGTTGAGTTCGGCTCATTCACAGCAACAAGAAGCATACAGTTTATGCTTTTGTGCCCGTAGTACAAAATGAAGTTGTGCGACAAGCCTATGGTTTCGTGGGAGTGGGTCACATATTTTAAAAAACACAATCTCTTCATTCACCTAAATAAAAGCTACCCCAACATCTAAATGACAGGAAAGCATGGTGTCAATAACGCGATAGATATCACTGCAATAACCTTGCAATATTTAGTGATATACAAGGAATGGCTTAAGCTGTCTACCTGATCATTCTGAGAAAATTACCTAACAATAACCCAACAAGAAAGTCTATGGTCTAAATTGGGGCAAAATGTATATTATATCAAAACTAAGCTTATACAAGGGTACTGGTGCTGGAGGTCACATTCACCCCTCACTGTTTAGTTACCCCATTCCCACACTGTAACTAATTAGCTATACTATAATACCCAATGGGAATAATTTCTATTCTACTACCTGGCAACACCAATATTTCCAAGTCAAATGCATTTGTCACTTCTTTAGTTTTTTTTAATACAATGTAATGATCCAAATCAAGTTAAATAAAACAAAAGATATGTATAGATGTCTTCTCTTGCCATTTCAGTTTTCTCTGATTTTTTATGTTGAAACTTTAATGTATAGTACCTTAGAGAATTTAATGCAACATATGGTATTTAAGGAATATGTGGCCCAAGGGTATGTTAAGAGGAAGAAGTTTTATGGTAATCTTAAATTATATCAACGCAAATTTTTTTTTGTACGGTCAGAATGTTGCTGAGGAAAATATCAAACGATGGCAAACAGATTGTATCGACAGCCAGAACGAGGAAAAGCATGCAATATTCTCATAAAGATGGCAATAAGGTAGAGACCCTGTCTATAGCTATGTCCCCTGGGGTATTACCAATTCCACTACAGTATATAAACATTGACGCTTGTGTGCAAGAGGAAATAATATTTCCACAATCAACATTTATTCTCCTCTAACCACATACTTTATCAAACCGTTTGTCTCATTAATGTTGATTGATAACAATAATCATTTCATATATGTTTCTTGCATCGAATCAAAGTAGAAACTAATCACGCGGTATTGCTTATCAATATTAGAAGCATAATTATAAGTTTGTAAAATGCCTATTTAAGTAGAAATCAATGATGATAAAATAGTCATGGAAGTGACTGCCTGTTTATTTGAGGGCCATATATTCTTATATTAATGGCAAGTAAAATTTACTTTTGATAGCCAAGTAAAAAATATTTTTCTCACCTCACATTTGGGTATTTGATTATCAAATTGTTACTTTCAAAAAATAGTTTTAAATGAAGATATATGACAGGGCAGGATTAAAAACGTGTTCATTCTGGACAAACTAGTTACTCAAAATGTCCAATGTTGTAATTGTTTTTAATGGCTGACAATCTTAAATTAATCCATGTTTACCAGAAACAAATTTAAATCTTTCCTATCAAATTAGAATTCCATGCCCTGATGTTACACCATATAAAAAGATATTATATTATCCCTTTCTCCATAACAGCATATTGAAATCAAATGAAATAGGGTTTGCCATCCGGAAATTTTGCCCAGGCATCCGTTTCAGCAAATTCTAAATAGAGGAT